AGACAATGAAGCTGAAGAAAATAGGTATCTGACTGTCAACAGACTCCAATCAGATGCTCAAGAATTGTTGGAAAATTGATAAAAGACAAGGCAGATGTGGTCAAGGCCCTTTGGAAACAAGTAACGGAATCAGTAGAGTAAGATTATTATGGCCTAAAGAGAATGAGGCATCTGGGTCTAACCAGAGGGTTTCGGCTCACTTCACTCAGAGGAAAAACAAGATGGACATACAACCAGATTGTGACCGGTACCATCAGTAGTGGAACTCTACGCTGGCTGCTGAAGATGAAGACTAAGCATGCATGGGAAACCAATAAGATAATGACTGGAAATTAACTGTTGCATAAAATATTTTTGTAGTGACAACACAATACTGTTTTATGATGATCACTGCAGTTGAACTGATAAAATCTCACGCATGACAAAAGGTAAAGTCGGGAGATGTGAACCAGCGTCATTGCACACGGTTATAAACAATAAGTGCTCTGCCACCAGTACAGACAGCTGATAAGAATTGTCCGCCTATGTCGCCGTTCGCACGTAACTCTGTAGCTACAGCGACGTTCCTCCATTTACCCCAGAGTATCAGTCTGGTACCTATTTCCTAGAGGCTGGGTGAACTCCAGGAGCCGCCCGGTTTCGAACATCGAGCGTGGGCTGTAGTGAGTCGCAACTGGATTTGAAAGCAAGCTTCTTATCGACTACGCTAACGCGGCCCCCAATGCATGACAAAGAATGTGTTAACACTCATGTACATTCAATCGCTTTCAGAAATACAATCTTAGCACATCATACACAGACCACATCACACATGCCGAGGTTGGCCGTATAATTATCCAGCACACAGGCAAACTAGAACCACTAATGAAGAGCTTTGGGAGAGAACTAAGCAAGCTGTAGTGGACCAAGAGGTGAAGAAAAGACGTTGGCGTTGGATAGGACACACACTGAGAAAGCCGGAGAACAGTATAACTAGAATGTCTTTGCATTGGAACCCACAGGGGCACAGGAATAAAGGAAGGCCAAAAAACACACGGAGAAGGCAGCTGGAGAATGAAGTTAGAAACATGGGGAGAGCTGCATGCGAAAGCAAAGGATAGAACGACTTGGCGTGAGCTGGTTGTTGGCCTATGCTCCACTGGGGGCTAGAAAAGCAGAAGAAGAAGACACTGGCAACTATAAACCTTTTTGAACCACAGAAGATGACATTCAATCTATCTTTCCTTCACCAATATTCTGCAATTAGTTGAGCTGATAAAATCTTATACATCACAAAGAATTATTATACTTGACGGACTGTGCTAAACTGTAGAATGACAAAAACTAAATAAACACCACACACACCAAACAAAATAATACTCTTTTTCTTAGTCTCTACCATCTGTGAACTCCAGCGAGAAGTTCTGGCTTTTCATTCACTCCTCAACTTTGTCGTGTTCCAGAAATTGAGTTTTACATGCACATCTGTTTTACCTACACATTATTTGTATGCAGACTGTTGGTTCCTCACCTCTCAGGAAGATACACCCTGAGAGTGAACATTTAGGGCATGCTTGTCAGGGGTGCAGTTGGCCTAATCATTTCCCTCTGAAAGGGGCCTTCAGAACCAAAATGATACGATACAATCTTAAATACAATCTTAAATATAGCAAATAATACGTTCAACAATGAAGTATGCTATACAGCAGATGTAATAATTACATTCAATAATGAACGGTGCTATACAGTAGACATGATAATAACGGTCAACTATGAACAGTGCTATATTGTATACATGATACAATCTCAAATATAGACAATAATTACGTTCAACAATGAACTTTGCGCAATACTGTAGACACTGTACAATCTCTAATATAACAAATAATTACATTGAAGAACAAACAGTGCTAAAATGTATTATGCTAAAAAAAAAAAAGAATAAACAAAAAAAAAAACTTGAAAAATCGCGCTGACTGAGTGATGTTCAACCCCACCAGGACCACATGATGAGTGATAAACACCCACTGACACAAAGTGCCACCATTTGGACGAGAATCCCCCAGGTACAAGTCCCTGAAACCCTGTTCAACTGTTATCTTATATAAGCCCCCCCCCCCCCTCCTCCCCTAATGACTACAAATGGGGCGGGGCATTAAAATAGCCATTTTTTTGGGCCTCATATTGGGGCAGGGATTAGCTTCTAAACTGCATATGAATGCTAAAACTACAAATATATCAAAGAATTATGCTCAATGTACCGTGCTATATTGAAACAAACTGATCCAATTAAAAATATCACAAATTAGCATTGTGGATAAATTAAGGTGTTATAGAAAATAAAAAGAGCAGGCCCATAAAAGGCGAAAGTTAGTGGAAATGTGGCAAGCCAATGAGAAAAGTCACCATATTTTTATAAATGTGTTAGAAATCAAATATGAAATTATATGTTGAAACAATTGCACATGTACTGATTTCAAAATGTATGAGATTTAGTAACTATCTTTCATTCCTTAACTCTTTGAGTCCCAGGGGGTTTAGCATCACAGGCCTGGGGGGGGGGGGGGGGGGGGGAGTAAGAGTAAAGAGAGTCATAAAATTGGCAGATCATGCGTTCATTGGGCTTCTAGGTAGGAACCTGTGAACGTATGATGCGTTCCTTGGGACTCAAAGAGTTAATTCACACTCATAATACCGCATACAACAAACCACCTCAATATATGTACAGGAAAGTTGGTTTCTTCAATGAGAATGTCACTAAATAAAATGTTATAGATAGGAAATTGGCTCATAAACAGCATCCGGTCCCAAAAAGCTGAGGTATTTTGGCCATGTTAAACATCACAGGGGTCTGGAGAGGATAGTAATGGTGGGTACAGTTTCCAAAAAATGAATGGGTGAATGAATGAAAAAACAAACTATACTTTCAAATGGCGGCCCATGGGCCAAATCTGGCCCACAGAGGCCTAGCAAGTGGCCCACGGGACACTGCCAGCTGTACTGTATTAATAATCTTTCTATGTTTGGGCTCGAGCCTCTCGCCCGTGACAATCTTCATTTTCCAAATGTTGTCCCCTGAGCAGACTTAGTTGAACAGCTTTGCTCTAGAACAATAACAGTGTGTAATTAGGTCAACACTTTCCGTGGCTTTGGGGCAGTGGTATGGGTCACACCTAGGAGAACATTAGAGCCCCGCCACGTAATATTGCAGTAACAGGATGGACATATCTGCTGCAGACAACTTCCACTCTGTGTGTGTGTGTAGTCTTTACCTGCACAAGACTCAAGCTTACACCTGGCAGGTGTTGCCCTATGGCTGCCCTGATTACGAAATCTGTGCAGGTTGAACCGGGTATCTGGCATCTGCCTTGGTCTGCCATCCAGAGTGAGATTTTTTAGTCACAGATTGGATGGTAAACTTTTCAGGGGCAGCCCCGCAGAGAGCAACCAAAACGATCGATCAGCCTCCACTGTGGAGGCAGCACAAAACAAAAGACAAGACCTGTGTTGTACTGAGGTGAAGGTACTAACATAGCAATCATATAAGTTAAATAAAAACAAGGAGGGGACTCTTTTCCACGCCTTCAGGCATATTGGGTATATAGGGCTAGACCTATATTTTATAGGCCAATCTGCACTTGGTGGGTAATACTGTCAGCATCACGTCGACCACCTTTACTTCCCAGGACTGCACCGAGTACCCACCCAAGGCTGGGTCGAGTCAAGGTGATTTTTTAAGAAAGCCAGGTTCTCTCAGGACCCGACCCACTGACCTTCTGATCCGCAGGCAAGCGTCTAGCTGCTACGCCACGGTGACTCCCAATAGTGTAAGACAGTTTAATTGGATTCATTGAGGAGGGGCTGCGTAGTCTTAAGGCGTGGTGTCCGCCTCGAATGCTAGACGTTCCAGGTTCAGTACCCGGTAAGGTGTTGCGCACGTAAAAAATCCCTTGGCAGTTGGAAATCGAAAAGAGCAGCCTACAAGCGCTGCCCGAGCACAATTTTGACTACCTGAAGTTTTTCAGGATCCTCGTGGGTGCTACATACCTTTGCACTGTGCTGAGCTTCTTCGGACTCAGACTTGAGTTAGAAGAATAATGGAGTACTTATGGGATACTACTTGCGTGCCATAATATTGATTAATCAAAAAACCTGAGGAACTGCTAAAAATCACTCATATGTCTATGTGGTGTTTGAATTTTAATATGAAACATTATTCACAAAAATGAGTGGAGAAATATCCCTGAAGCTTTGGATATTATGCTAAAAATATGAACACGTTAGTAACGTCGAGGGCAACAATAATATCCTAGCCTGCGCAGTCTGTGGCAGCTGCACTAACCATGCAGACCTAAATCGCCAGGCTCAAAGACCCTGCCACCTGCCTACACATAGTTTATTATTGATGGCTTTCCATCTTTCTGGATGATAGTGTTATAGTACGCTTTAAGGAGGCAGGGGACTCACAGATCATGGTGAGGTGAGTGCAAGACCCACCCTCGTTAAGAAAAGTCTTCCAAAATTATAGCATGGGATTTCAGGACCGTTACTGTCAACATTTCTGTTTCTTCTCAGATGCTCAGCTTTCATCCTTTCTGCAATCATTTCTTCCTTAATCCTTTGCAATCATTTCTTCCTTAATCATTTGCAGTAATTTCCTTACTTCTTCCTGCCTACACTACAAAAGTGGTAAACACAGGTAGAACTGACAGTAATGTAAATAGGGTGGGTGTTTCTGATATATCCTTTAAAATGTCCATCTTGTCTGTTGTTTTATTAGAGTGTTTTTCTGACTGTTAATAGTGACTGATTAAAACATGCAGTTGTATTTGTGCACGTCTTCTCCTTTTGCTTGTTTTACCTTTTCAGGCGTAGTCTTTTATGTGGTTTTTTGTTTCTGTAAACACGTCTCAAACTAGTTTGAAAATGCTAAGCCAAGCCAAGACAATGGTCAATCTAGTGAACATGCAACATTGCAAAGTATGTGGTTTCTTTCAATAAGTCTGTGACCAACAGTTAATTCAAACATGTTCATTCCCTTTTTGTATTCGCTGTTTGTTGTTGTTGAGATGTTTCTGGTAGGTTCTGGCTGCTCCTATCAACTCTTTCAGCTTCACAGCCACCTGATGAGAGAGGAGTTATTAATGTTATGTAGATATTCAGAAGGAGGGAAATCAATTAACAATTTTTAGCATGTGTAACTTATGCATGGAGGATGGAAAAATCAATTTAAAAAAAAAAAAAAAAAAAAAAAAGAAAGAAAGACTTTAAACAAAAAATAAAGGACATCCCTTGCGTAAATTTTGGGACCCCATTTACTATGGAGAGAAGGGAGGAAAAGGGGGGGGGGGTGGAGGGATGGGGGTGGAATAGACCCACTGTACCTAAACAAGCATTCAATAGAAGGTCATTAATTAAGGCTTTGCTTCAATCGAATGTATTAAGACACAAGGTGCAAGGACTTTGTTCTTATGTTCATGAAGGTGTGTTGGGACATGAGCAGACAGATAGACTGGCCGGTTCTGCATCACTTGGTGGTGAACTGATGTATGACAAGCTGGATGTTGTGAGGGCTCTTTAGGAGGGAGTGAACAGTGCCAAGGAACAGATAGATCATTACGGTCTGAGGAGAATGGCACTGTGAGGAGTTACAAGTGGATCTGGCTGACGCTCGACACTCATGGGAAAGGTGAGACAGATACACAATCAGACAGTTACTGGTACCATCGGAAATTTAACTCTTCGCTTGCAGCTGAAGATGGGGACGGAGCGCTTATGGGGGTGTCCCGGGTGCTGTGATGTCGATTCTTAATTCAACATGTTCTAACCCTACTGCATTCATCATATTAATTTACTGCTTGTCTGACAAGTCTTTCTACTCGCTGTAACTTTCAAATATTTTAAAGTTACTAAAGCTGAAAACTGCAAAAGGATATTATAGATATCTTTCACAGTAATAAAATAGTTGGTGTTTGAAAAACATTTTACATCTTAGGAGCAAGCTGTAATTTTGCCTTTCCACTTTAATTACAGCTGAAGCCTACTCCAGTCATTAGAATAATTACTGACTAGGAGATTAAAGTGTGACAAAGACAAAACAGGCCCGAGATACTGGACTTAATGCCATACATCTTGCCATAAGTAGTGCAAAGGCAACAGTCGCATCGTTCAGTTCTGAGTGCAGTTTTTATGGGGTTCCTGCTCTGTATGATGATCTAGGCAGGCAGCTAGCTGTTCTGCTGAGAGAGACTGAGCCATATGGGATAAAACCCAGTGCAATGAAGTCGATCCTCTCGACTTTCATCTTTAACTGTACTGAATGCTGCAGGAAAAAACATTGGCGGATTTTTAATCAGGTTGCAACTGGAACTATTATTATGGAAACTGTTTACTGGCTAAGAAAGTTGAAAAGAAATTACAACACACTAAACTTAATTTTTCTAAATTCTAATGTAAAATCGGAGTCACCGTGGCCGAGCGGCAAGATGCTCGCCGCGGATCGGAAGGTCGTGGGTTCGCTCCCTAGCGAAGTTGGACTATTTTAAAAAATGACCTTGGCTCCCAGGTTGACCCAGCCTCGAGTGGGTACCGGGTGCAGTCCCAGGAAAAAAAGGCGACTGGCGTGATGTTGACCACATCACCCATCTTGTGCCGATTGGTCTATAAAAATATAGGTCTAGCCCTATATGCCCTATACGCCCAAAGGCGTGGAAAAGGTCCTTTACTTTACTTTTAGTGTAAAATCAGTACTGCTGTATGGAAAAGAAACATGGTGAATAACTAAAACATTTACTAATAAACTACAAACGTTCATGAATTGGTGCCTGTGCAAATCTAAGGAAATTATAAAGTATTTAAAAAAATGCTGAGCTTTGAGAGAGAACTAATCAAGTTCTAGTGGACCAAGAGGTGAGGAAAAGACGCTGGCATTGGATAGGACAAATGTTGAGAACACCTGAGAACAAACATAACATGAATGTCTTTGCTGTGGAACCCACAGGGGCATATAAATTAAAGCAGATTAAAAAACACATGGAGAAGGGGAGCTAGTGAGTGAATCTAGAGGACATGTGGTGAGCTGCATACAACAGCGATGGATCGAACGACATAGCGTGAGTTGGTTGAGGGCCTATGCTTTTTTGGGCGACAGAAGGCAGAAGAAGAAGAAGAAAGGGGGCAGAGAATGTGTGGAAAAATCCCGAATCCAGTGATGCCAGTTTTCGATCCATTTATCATTCAGTTTGAATGACATCTTGTAAGATCAATACCTTAATGTCTGCTCTCTTAATTTGTGATTATTGTCAGAAATATACCTGTTTGAAAGGAGGCCGAAAACTAGGCCGCTGGTCCCAACAGGTTTTCATCAAGTCTTTGAACTGGGGCATCATGTCTGCTGTTGGAGGCACATCTGGTCGGCCACCATTTCTTACAATCTCAGTCACCTGTGGTCAGTAAACAACAGGGAAATATCATCTGTATTCAGAGTCAATATGGAATGACTAATATAAACACACAGATACAAAGTGGATGCTGAAAAATAATATGCATAACGCAGTAAATGTTATGAAACTGGCTAATACCTCTAGACACAGTGAATGTTATAAGATAAACAAATATAGCTAGACACTATGAATGTATCGCGGCTGACAAGACGCATTCGGCTTTTTAGTGACCTGAGTGTGGCTCGGCTCTTTAGCGACCTGAGTGTGGCTCGGCTCTTTAGCGACCTGAGTGTGGCTCGGCCAGTCGGCCACAAATCAATTTTGACTTTTAAAAAAACATTGTACTTGAAAAGAAATTTGGCTCTCAAACATTTTTTTTCATCGTCCTGCTGCTGATTTTTAGCTCTTGCGACTAAAGAATTTGCTGGCCACTGTTCTAAGACAAACAAATATCTCTACACCCAGTCAATGTTGTAAGATAAATATCTCTAGACACAGTGAATGTTGTAAGATAAAAAATATCTATAGACACAGTGAATGTTGTAAGATAAACAAATGTCTCTGGATCCAGTGAATGTTGTGAGATAAACAAATATCTCTGGACACAGTGATTGTTGTAAGATAAATATCTCTAGACACAGTGAATGTTGTAAGATAAATATCTCTAGCCACAGTGAATGTTGTAAGATAAATATCTCTAGACCCAGTGAATGTTGTAAGATAAATATCTAGACACAGTGAATGTTGTAAGATAAATATCTCTAGACACAGTGAATGTTGTAAGATAAACAAATATCTCTAGACCCAGTGAATGTTGTAAGATAAACAAATATCTCTAGACACAGTGAATGTTGTAAGATAAATTACTCTAGACACAGTGAATGTTGTAAGATAAATATCTCTAGACACAGTGAATGTTGTAAGATAAATATCTCTAGACACAGTGAATGTTGTAAGATAAATATCTCTAGACACAGTGAATGTTGTAAGATAAATATCTCTAGACACAGTGAATGTTGTAAGATAAACAAATATCTCTAGACACAGTGAATGTTGTAAGATAAACAAATATCTCTGGACACAGTGAATGTTGTAAGATAAACAAATATCTCCGGACACAGTGAATGTTGTAAGATAAACAAATATCTCTGGACACAGTGAATGTTGAATGATTATGTTAACTCTACCAGACCAATATATCACTTCTGCGGTCATTTCCTAATGTCCTGCTAAACCGCTGTACCTCATTGTCGGTACTTTGCTTACCACGTGAAAAAAATGCGTCACAAACTTAAAATAACTAGCCAATTATGATCAAAACCTCGTGGTTAGTCATTGCGAATAGCTGACATGTATTTGGATTTACTTTGTGTGGTTAACATGAAAAATTCTGAAAAATCACAATGAAACAAGCGTCTGATGAACCAAGCACTTTGACAGGAAAGTGAAGCAGGTCTAGGCTTTTCACAGTCCAACAGGTGATCGACACTTTGGTTGATTCAGACTTTAAGCTGTCAGAATTGCATGAAGAATTTGCTCTCATTTGAAGTGACATAGTCAGTGAGAGCTCGAGTGATGAGAAGAATCTGGAAAATTATAGATTTAAAACCAGATCCATAGTAAGAGAAGGGGGCGTGACCCTCAAACAAGCAACATCTGGTGCTCACTTTGTGAAACAAGGCTGATCATGCTAGGTGGATTGGCACACAAAGGTGGAATATTGGCGCTAGGTGAAAGTTCAACCTATTTTTTACAATGTCTCCAGGTTTCATATTAGTCTAACCACTTGTTTGCATGGAACTGATATTTTTACATATCATGTTGGTTTTTTCATGTTAATGCCCAAGAGCTCAGGTATAGGTGGCAGTTAGGTTCAGGGCCTCAGGTCTTCTATACGCCGTTAATGATAAAAGATAAACAAAGATTACTAAACAAACTGAATGTTTAATGAATAATAAATATTTATATGAATGTTAAAAGGCATTAGAAAGTGGTAAATGTCGCCATTTTCTTCTTCTTCTTTATTTAGTCTTAAAATAACGGTTTGCACACTGTAGTGTGGTTTTACAGCTAGGCAGTGACATTTGCACTTTTTGGCCCAACACATCTAATTTCAGCAAATTTTTAATTAGTTGTTGCCTGGCTTTTATAACATGCATGGTAAGGAGCTATAAGTATTTACTTGAATTTTTTTTTTTTTTTTTTTTTTAAATATTCAAATCTAAATTACTGTTATATATTCTTCTTCTTCTTAGAATTCATTGGCTGTAAACTCCTGCGGAAAGGTCTGGTTGTTCATCCACTTCTGGACTTTGGCCTTGTTGCAGAATCTGAATTCTGTGTACATGTCCATTTTACAGACATGGCTTATTTGTATGCAGATTGTTGGTTCCTAGCCTCTCAGGCAGATGCACTAAATCTTTGAAGGAAACTTCCATGATTAGTCGACTCTTATGACATGTCTGTTAGGATGCAGGGGTTCAATTCTCCCCCCCCCCCTCCCCCATAATGGGGCCCCGAAAACCACACAGGGAGCGTTATATATGAAACACAAGGAATTGGTAAAACGTGCATGAATTATATATATATAGTTGTTACCTCTGTCTCTGTAGCTATCTCGTCAAACGGATCTTTAAACATGACCATTTCCCACATGACCATGCCAAACGAATACACATCACAGGCTGTTGAAATAATACTACTCTCGCCTTCCTTGGTACATGGATGGGTCAGCAACTCAGGGGATGTCCACCTTCTAGCTGCTGGACAAGCACTCAGCTGTCTCTGACCTGTTGGTGTGAACAACAACATACAATTTAGTCCCGATAGGTTTTGTTCGATCCCAAACTTACTACCTAATTTTTCTGAAGAAATCTGAATGGAGAAGGTTATGAATGTTGGGATACTGGCTATGGTTGAGGCATAAACAGTAGCAAAGACAATAATCAAGTTTTAAACATTAACAAAGTGGGAAAAATGAATGATGGATACATGTAAAACAATAAAAGGGACACATTATTAATAGTCAAAAAATAAACAGTAGCAATATGCACAGACAATCAAGGATGAAGCTCAACAAAATGGGAACATTTCCTGCCCCTGACAGGAAAACCTGTCTCCCACATGACAGTATGACATTCTAACAGAATGAAGATAGCAGATAGCCAGCCTCATAAATGGTTTAGGAAAAGAATACAGGTAGCCACAAAGCATATACTTTGGGATGAAATTATTAAGGGCTTCACACATTCCAAACCATGATATATAAGGTGAATTAATCAAGTAACAGAAAGTATTGTGAACGGCACTCATAGAAAGAAGTAGAAAGATAGATGAACACATTTGACAACATAAAAATCGAAAGCTATAGTTACCGTGCCGGGAATTGAACCTGTCACCTCCAGACGGCGTCTGCGCCTCGCCATGAATACAAGTGCACTAAGATACATGGTCAACTAGGCACCCCCAAAAAAAGGTGTCTCATTGGCCATGTCTATCGTACAGCTTGAAATCCACGACTATGGAATACGGACAGAATTCATTTCAACCCATTGAAATGGCACCATAGGTTACAGAAATTTATATTAACGAAGTAAATGTCGAATAACAATCACAGCAACAATTTACGAACATAGTAGACCTTATTGCCTTGTCTAGGATACACAAACATTTAAGAGGTGGAGGTGACAGGTTCAATTCCCGGCACGGTAACTATAGCTTTCGATTTTTATGTTATCTTTCTACTTCTTTCTATGAGTGCCGTTCACAATACTTTCTTTACTTGATTAATTCCGTATTTACGGCCTAAATGGTTCCCCCCTCTGTTACTTATATTAAGGTGAAGAGGCATTCCTATTTCCTCCCAAATCATTCCTCAAAAAATGCAAGAAATTATCTGGTACCCTCTGTTTATTTACCCATATCAAGGGAACTTTCTTCCAAGTAGGAGAGAATGTTTTAAATGCAGATCCAAATGGCTGTTGTGGTTTATTGAGGCACATTTACGTCCAGTAGTTTGCCATTGCTTTCTAAACTATCAGCTTCTTGATACCACTGTCGAAACTAATGCAAGGTGCAAGGCCCGCAACTGGGATCAAACCCAGCACCCCGGCATTACGAAGCGCATTCTCAACGTCTAAGCTACAGGCTCCAACAATATGCAGGAAACCATGTTATAAACCATGAAAATGTCAAGTGTACTATGATCCTTTGTAATGATTAATTTATAATTCTTACTTTTTATTGAAGTACACGTATTTCCAACTTGTGGTTGGAATTATAAATACACAATAGCATAGTCACTTCAACTGTCATTATCATGGTATTAATAATTACTATTCAGTTTGTTTTATATGGCTTAGTGCAGAAAAAAACTTATAACGATGCAAAATGAAGTAAATGGGAAAAGCTGCATTTCTGTTTTTGGAGCTAATTTTATCAAATCTGGCTTATGTGAAGTCAGAGAATTCTCATGCAATCCTGGCAGTGAAACCTTCTGGATACAGCTGCGGATGGCGTCAGAACCCTAATGATCTGGCAGGCCTGTCTATGTGTTCAGAAATGTAATTTCAACCCCCCCCCCCCCCTCCCCAAATGTGTATGTTTCAGACTGGAAAACAGAAAGTGAAAGTATGGCAAAGACAATCACTTACAGCAGCAGTCATCATTCTGGCAATGCTCTCTCATTGGCTGTAGTAATTTGGTCAAACCAAAATCTGCTACCTGAAAAAAAAATAAAGTGAGATGAGGTGTCTGGTGCAATAAATAACTACACAAACATACACACACACACTCACACATACATACATATTTTACTTAACAGGCACACATATATATATTAACAGAAGATCAAAGTAACAGAATATAGAGATAACTATGAAATATGCATTTAATAATATAGGTGATACATAAAGCATAATTCAAGCATACAATATAAGCCACAAACTATTAGACCACATACAAATACACAAAGAGTACTTACACCATAGGCTAAACATGCATCACAGATTTGACAAAAATACAATACAGGTCAAAGAACATTAGATACACACAGAACATGGGTCAAAGTCTGATATGTAGCAAAAACACACATAAAACAAAGGCCAAACATACGACAGAAATCATACACATAAAATGTTGATCAATGCGAACATTGGGCACAATATAGTGCAAGCCAACATATAACGTAAGTTAAATATATATAATACACAGTGAAAATACAGGTCATGAATGTCTGTAAGCACCATCCAATTGACCTACAAACACAATTTCCAAATATATTTAGACTCATCCCGCAAACAATGCCTTGGCCCAAAAACGCACCAACATGGCTTTAGTGCCATGCTTTTTGCTAACCAACATCATCAGTTGTACTCAAGTCTGTGAGCTGTAAACATTGTTTTGTGTGGTGTTGTTCTTAAAACAATTGTTTCCTGTTTTTTTAACTAAATTAACCCTCATTATGTATCCCAAGAAAGTAAAAAGCGTTGGTAACAGAGGTGTAAGCGTAAGCTTATTAACTCTTTGAGTCCCAGGGGGCTTAGCAAGTAATAAAATCGGCGCATCATGCGTTCATTGGGCTTCTAGGTAGGAACCTATGAACGAATGATGCGTTCCTTGGGACTCAAAGAGTAAAATAAAGAAGGAAATAATAACTAAGCATAGAAATGGTATTTGAGTTTCTGACCCCACCATGCAGTGTGACATGGCTAAATCTACGATCTGTCTTAAAGAACAAAGATGCGCTCATGAGAGCTGATGCGGCTAAAGGTGCGACAATGTAAACAGTGTTTCACCTTCTGCCAAATCTGTTCTTCAAACTGTTTCAGAACTTGCAGAATCAGGCTTCTCAATAGCTGATTCGATGCTGGTTGTGCCAGGAAAAGCTCCAAACTTGTCACAGCAGACACAACAAGAAGTTTCATGTTCTGCTCCATCTACTTTTCAAACTTTCTCAGAACTCATGACAGAAGTAGAAACTTTATCATCAGCCACTCAGCAAGCAATAAAACCACTTCTCGGGATAAAAATAAGAGACACAAATATCTACAGTTGCCCGATGTTACTATGGAATGGGACTCTTTCGAAGAAGCAGTTTCCCTTCTTTTCCTCCTCTGGCATCTACACGTGCCAGCAACTACACAAACCACATAGGTAAAGCTATACTGTATATTTTTTATTATATATTTTAGTTACACATAAATCCATTAGAAAGTAAAAATTTAAAAAAAATATATATATATTTTTTGTTACACATATCTCCATTAAAAAGTGAGAAAAAAGAAAAAAAAAAAACTATGTTACTCGAGGAAGCGAATGGATTAAATGGATCTGCACCGATTTCAATGGGAAAAATTGATATCCAACTAAGACACCCCCCCCTTTTTTACACACAAAAAAAAAATATGGGTAAAGTGTACAATATTATTAAAAATACAGCACAGGCCAAACATGCAAAACACAAATAAAATATATAAGAACAAGTGAAACATACAATACAAACTGACTTTACAACACAATCTCTATTATCGACAGTCATTAGACAGAAAAGATGGCACTATCTTGGACACATGCTGAGAAGAGATGAACAGAGAATCACCAGACAGGCAGTGAAATGGGAAACAGAGGGATTCAGGAAATGAGGACATCAAAGGGAAACCCTAAGACGAATGCTGATGAATGAAGTAAAGGTGCTGGACTTGACTCCATCCATGATATCAAAATAACTGCACGGGACAGAATAGATGGATAAACAGACTGTGAGTCCAAAGTGACATATAATGGCACAACAGGACAGTGAGTGAATGAATGAATGAATGAATGAATGAATGAATGAATGAATGAATGAATACAAAAACATGCTTTAGGCAGCCAGTACTCACTTTAACTAAGTCATTGTCTGAAAGAAACAGATTGCCACATCTCAAATCTCTGTGAATGATTGGTGGTTTTGTAGAGTGAAGAAACGCCATCCCATCAGCCACTTGGCCACACTGAAACACACAACTATTGCTGTTTAACTCTTTGAGTCCCAAGGAACGTAATACATTCATACATTCATACATTCCGATCTAGAGGCCCAATAAACGCAAGATGCACCGATTTTACGTCTCTCTTGTCTACCATTTGGGCCTCTGATGCTAAACCCCCGGGACTCAAAGAGTCAAGTGGCAAAAACTAATATTCAAAACATGGAAGCATTACATAACTTCATGTTGAATGTCGGAGCATAATACAAATGTTTGTTTGTTTCTACAGTGATTGTCATCTCAAAGTTTTACAGCACAATGGCCCTAAAAGCTATATTTTTTATGTCAAACCAACAGCAGGGATTATACGATTATTATCAGCTACTTAATGACAGAGATTTTCTTTTTCTTCTGCTTTTCTAACCCTTAATGAAGAGTAGGTCCCCAACTAACTCACGCCAAGTCGTTCTATCCTTCACTATCGCATGCAGCTCTCTCTATGTCCTTCCTATCTTTTTAACGTCACTCTCCTGCTCCCTTCTCCGCGTGTTTTCTTTTTGCTCTTCCTTGATTTCTACACCCCTGTGGGTTCCAGTGAAAAGTCATTCTAGTTATACTGTTCTAAGATTTTCTCAGCGTGTTTACTATCCAACGCCAACGTCTTTTCTTTACCTCTTGGTCCACTGAAACTTTAGTTTATGGATAAGTCAAAAAGAGAAGCAAATAAAATCCAGCCAACCAAGATGAGGGAAGGCTCTTCAAATAGAAGAAGTATGACACGGTGTGGAGAAAGCCGTAAGGAGTCCGGATCGTTGACATACCTCCTCTCAGCTAGGAAAACCGCCAGAATTGGCACCTGGAATGTTAGAACTCTCTATGATATAGGGAGAACAATGGAAGGCATAGGAATAAAGGAAGGCCAAAAAACACATGGAGAAGAGAGCTGGAGAACGAGGTTAGAAAGATTGGGAGGACATGGGGAGAGCTCCATGCAATGGCGAAGGATAGAACGACTTGGCGTGAGTTGGTTGAGGGCCTATGCTCCATTGGGGAATAGAAAGGCAGAAGAAGAAGAATATGTGTTTTTCCCCTGTACTATATTACCTGAAAGTTTGACCCTAATAGTGACATTCCTTGTTCTGTCAAATCAACATGAGAAGAGCCTATACAAATATTTGAATATATTACTACATGGATTTTGCTTCTCACGAGGTTCTCTGAAGGTCTGACACCTCAGTGGCTGCATTTCCAATGCTAACAGCCGCAAACTCCTGATACCCAATTCAATCTTATGATACTATAATTTGAGAGTCCCCATGTGGGTTCTGGCACACCAATGTGGGGAAAACAAGAATAGACCCACTGCCCCAACAAGCATGTCATAGGAGTTGACTAACTGGGAACTTCCTTCAAAGTAGAAGTGCATCTGCCTGAGTGACAAAGAACAAACAACTGCAGACAAACAAGCCAGTAAAACAGATGTACTCGCAAAACTCAGGCCCTGGCACAGAGCCAAAGTCCAAATGGACCAACAACCAGGACTTTCAGAACACCCATCAGGACAGTCTTTAGGTCTGTCTCTTTTGATCACATCAGCACTGCAGGAGTCCTTTTCAGGGCTCCTAGCAGTGTGCAGTGCTAAGCTATTTTATGTGGTGCTCATAACCTAGTCACAATTATAACCTAAAGCTACTCCTTCAGGGATGCTGGTCGAATGTGACGATTGTTTTTAACCAGCAAAGCATCTACCTATCCCATTCAACCTTATTAAGTGAAATAAGGGAGCTAACTCTGAGATTTAAGCACAATATAAATATCACAACTGTCTATAAGGTATGAATAAATGAAAATAGTCATCCCCCAAAGTAACACTCACCAGGTGTTTTGCTGATTGACTTGGAGATTATATCTCTAAACATCTTTTAATCCCCAACAGCAAGTAAGAATTTTGTGAGCTGCCATCTTTCAGTGTAATAACAAATGACAGTCAAAAATCTCCAATCACTGTCTTCTCTGTCTCATAAATATTTCCAGCTGTCACAAAATGGCTGATTCCCGTGTGGTCAAATAAAATGATAACTGTCTTTTTCTGATGCTTTCTTTTGGGTGTGTGTGGAAAGCAAGGGAAAACTGCCACATTATTATCCCAAGAAACTCATTACTCTTGTCTCAGAAACGGAAATATTTTAGTCATATCAAGTGCCATGGCTGGCTGGACAAAATTAACAGCAGAAGGCATGGTACTAGGAAGGAGGGGCAGGGGCCAACCAACAGGAAGAGGGGCACAGGATATAAGCGATCTTGAATATTAAAGTAAATGAGGCGCATGAGGTGGGAGAGTTGGCAGGAGACTAAGCTTCTTTCAGGCAGACTGTGATGAGAGTGACATTCTGACAAGGACCTGCTACATGATGATGATGTGTGTTGGATGAGTGAGCATGCTCTGTGTTGGTTCCTGGTTGTGTTTTGTGTTGTGTATTGCCTGTTGTGTTGTGTTATGTGATGAGGTATGTTGTGTGATGTGTTGTTTCTTGTGTGTGTGCTGAGTGTTTTGACTGTGTGCTGAATATATGTGTGTGTCTGTGGTTTTGCTCCTGCTGAAGAAGACAAAAATCCCCAGCACAGGAAATCACTAACATTCCGCTCATTCCACTGCGGCCCAAAAAACCAGCACACTTCTGCCATATGTATTGGAACTGTCACTGAGGACTGATAATCAACGAACTGAACACAGGCCATACCAGTCTTGTCCTCTGAGGCCAGGTGAGCAGTTGCCCATTGACTTTGAGGAAGTCCTTCAAACATTCTCCAATGACATACTCTGCTAACAGAAATGGCAGTCGCCCATCCAAACACAGCCCCAATATGCAGACAATGTTCCTGTGTCTCTGTCGGCTACAAACAGATTAAAACAATACATCTGGATTACTATTACTTGTTAACCTTATCTAATTATAAGCCCTGCTCTCTAGCGTAGTTGGCTAAACCGGATTGCGCGGTGACCGGGTGACGAACTCCTTGTGGTCTGGGTTCACTCCCGGGGTAGGCAGAAAAGCCACATTTCTCCCAGATTTACAGTATTTACATTGGAATCAAGGCCGAAAGGTTGCGATATCCATAATACCGAGCCTAAGAGTTAACAACTCATGGTTTCTGGATACTAAAACAAACAAACATCTAATTATATATTAAAAGAAATGAATCCCTTTCAAGAGAACAGCACATGAGGCTAAGTGTGTGTCCTTTACAGGTCATTGCAGAACCAACCCCAGTACTTTTTGTGATTTTACTGAGCAATTTTACATTTAGTAGTCTGCTACTGCTTTATGAATGATTGGCTCTCGAGAACACTGTTGAAACCAACACCAGGTGATCTGCTGCCAAATCACCTGCAGCTGGAATCGATCCCCGCACTGGGATATTGCCAGACTTGTTTGCAATGACTAAAGGGCCCTGACAATATATATCTGTGCATACATCAATTCACCATCAAGTGGTGCAGAACAAATTCTGCCTGCTTGTTTCCCAGCACACCGGTACGACCTGGAGAAAACATCTAAAGGATGCTGACTCCCAAGGACCTAGGAAGGTCCATGGAGATTGAATATGTGTTACAGAACTTGTTACACTTTTTAATTGTCCCTTAAACATGTTTGTCCTATAGTGTTACCATTTCAGGACACATAGACTGAATCTTGAAGGGTGGTTGGCTGAACGGATAAGAACGCAGGGCTCTTATGCAGCAGACCAGGGTTCGAGTCGTGGGTAAGGCTGTAGATTTTTTCTGTCGGGGGGCAAAAATAAAATCCTAACCTGCACAGCCTGTGGCAACAACGCTAGCCATTTGCACTAAATCCTCAGACTGCCCTGCCTATACTGCAATATGGCAGTTTTAATGGCCGACTAAGCCTTGTATTATTTAAAGAAACCTCTGCTTGTGATAGGGTGAGTTAACTCTTTCAGTCCCATGGGGTTTAGCATCAGAGGCCCAAGGGGTAGTCAATAAAGATGTACAGTCAGCGCATCATGCGTTTTTTTGGGCCTCTAGGTAGGAATCTATGATGCGTTCCTTGCGACTCAAAGTGTTAAAGAAGCACCTGTCTAGCATTTAAAGAGTGACAAGACTGGCCATAAAATGGACACTTATGAGAGTTTGTACTGAAAAAACAAGTCCCATACATCTGAAACCTTACATACCTTAGAAACCAGACCTCATCCTTCATCCAGTCCATGGTCTCACTCGTCAGCTGGTTGCTATGTATGGCGATAGTTAGTCGCTTGACTGTGACTGTCATCTCATTCCATTTGGCTAGATGAGTGTCACCAAACACACCTCCTCCCAGCCTGATGAGGATTAAAAATAAATCAGTCAGCTTATAACATGAGATATAGCTTTGTGACTTAGAGGTTTAGTGAATGTGTTTCACAGTCAACACAGTGCCAGGGTTTGCTTTAGAGGTCTAGTGAATGTGTTTCACAGTCAACACAGTACCAGCATTTGATTTTCGCAGATGGTGGTTTAAGAAAAGACAGATTCGGAAAGTGATATGATAGTGCACTGTAGAAGAGTTTGGGCCCTAACCACTTAATATCCCCAAAAAATTTTCTGTCCAGGATATTCAGGTGCGCGAGGTAATGACCAGGATGACAGATTAGCTGCTGCCACTCCTCTGGGCAGTAAGCTACTTTATAAAGCGGACACAGTGAAGGTTCTCTGGGATCAAATCAAATGGATAGTGCAACAGAACAGAGAATCCACAGACTGAAAGACTAATTCAAAAGGGTGGGGGGGTTGCATGTGTGATCAGAGGTTCTGGAAGATATTCAACCTTGAGGGGGAACCACTTTAAGTCAGGCTGCAACTGGTACTTCGTTGGCTAGTGAAGAAGGGGACGGAGCACATGTGGGAATGTTAAGAGTGCAGTGACGTCAATTCTTGATTCAATTCCTTCATTCTTTTATCCATTCCCCAAAAACAGCAGTGGTTATGAGGATAATGCCCACATGGGCTCAGTCTCCTCCATAATGTATCCAACAGTGTACATATTGTGTGCAGGAGCAGGAGTAAACCAGTCAGGTTATAACATGGGACTAGTTCTGGGACTCAGAGGTTAGTGAATGTGTTTCACAATCAACAAAGTACCAAGGTTTGATTTGCCTATGGGTCGTTTAGGCGAAAAAAACAGTTCTCATGACTTCGGAACATGAAATGAGCATACACTATGGAAGGGAGTCGCCGTGGCATAGCTGCTAGATGCTCGCGTGCGGATCGGAAGGTCGTAAGTGTTGCACCCTGGTGGAGCCTGATTTTTAAAAAAAAATGATCTTGACTCCCAGGTTGACCCAGCCTTGAGTGGGTACCGGGTGCAGTCCCGAGAAGTAAAGGCGGCCGGCGTGATGCTGACCACATCACCCATCCTGTGCCGATTGGTCTATAAAAATATAGGTCTAGTTCTATATGAACTTTATGCCTAAAGGCGTGAAATTAGGACCTTTACTTTACTTTATACACTATGGAAGAGTATGCAGTCTCAATGTGTAATGTTCTGAAAGGTAAGGTGTCCCCACCAGGATTGTATTCTGTAGAACTGATACTTTAAGGATGAGAATCAAACGGGTACAAATCACAGAAACCGTATAACACAATTATACTTGGTCACCCGGCAGTTACATGGTAACCTGACGTCTGGACAGGGCTGAAATGTGTGTATCTTCTACTTCTTCTGCTTTGTGTTCCCCAACTGTTAACTCCAGTGAAAAGTACTGGTTGTGCGTCCATTTCTGGATCTTGATCTTGATCCAGAACTAAAATTGAGCGTGCACATCCTTTTTACAGATCTGGTTTATCTGAATGCAGACTGCTGGTTTCTTACCTCTGAGGTAGATGCACTCTGACTTTGAAGAAAACACCCCTAATTAGTTGCCTTCTTTGACATGCTTGTTAGGGAGGCATTGGGTCTACTCTTTTTTTTTTTTAACTTTTAAATAGTTTAGACATGTCAAGCACCATGGCGGATTGGAAAAAAATAATAGCAGAAGGCATGGAAACAGGAGAGAAGGACAGGGGTCGACCAACACGAAGATGAGCACAGGATATAATGGACTCCTTGAATATTTAAGTACACGAGGAGGGAGAGCTGGCGAGAGACCAAGTTTCTTTCAGGCAGCTCATAATGAGAGCGATGCCCTGTACAGGGCGACCTGCTACATGAGGATAACACAGACAGACCTCAGAAAGTGGATATTACCTCTGTCCCATCTCCACTGATTCCAGCTGTATATTAGGGTCACTCAAGATGGGGATCAGTTTTCGTCTAGCACTGGCAACAGCTGCAGGTTCATAGTCACGAAAATCTGAGTACTTGGCTCCATCAAGTGAGGTTCCTAGAAGGGCCATATTGTGTGGTCTTGAAGAGACATTTGCTCCCAAGCCTGATGGATTGATACCTGTATGTTCAAATACATTCAAGATACTTCCTTATTAATGGAGGATGTCAACTGAGACAATGACTAATAAGGTTCACACTTCATTAACTCGTGTCTGACTTGAATATAAATAATTAAGTGGTATGATATAGTCATTAACGTTGAGCTCTAGGAGAGAACTAAACAAATTCCAGTCAATCAACATACTGTCTCCAAACTTTGCACAAACACAGGAACATGACATTGCAACAGACTGAACTAAAATGAAAACAGCAGCTTGAATACTTTATGAGTAATTTTTGGGAAAAAAATATTGTACCCCATAAACAAGAATAACTTTTAAACCATAGCATTAAGTCAATAGTCTTTAGTTCATAGAGTTTGACATACAATTTTAAATTTATGTGCAAATTTTCATTAAACCATCTTTTTTAGTTTTTGAAATATTTTGGTAAATGTTGAGCCCAAATTTGGCTATTTTCCACATTAAATATGACTTCTGATCAATTTCTGTGAAAATATGTTGATTTTAGCCACCAAAATTAATTTTCCTTTAATCCGTAACTATTTTATACCTATAGAAAGCATTGTTTCCAGCAGATTCAATTTGGTGGTTTAACCTGTCCTTAACTCTTTGAGTCCCAGGGGGTTTAGAATCAGAGGCCAAGGGGTAGCCAAAAGAGACGTTAGGAACTGATGAGTGTATGATACGTTCCTTGGGACTCAAAGAGTTAAGTAGCAACTGGTTTAGGCAGGTTATTATGTCAATCAATCAATCAGGTGACCATAACTTGGTGTTTTCCACCCACTTTTGCTGTTGCCCACCTCTTGCTCTCTTACCTTCGACCTTTCCCTCCAGTATGGTTTTTCAACATTTGCTATGTCCTTTAATGTGGCCAAAGTATTTCAATTGTCTCTTTATTTTATTTATTTCAGTCATTCTCTTTTCATCTGTAGCCTTTCCAGAACCTCTGTATTGGACTGTTTTTGTTTTTATGAAATACAACCTTTTCTTCTGTATACCCACATCTCTGGAGACTCAATTCGATTTCCTAGTTGCTTGTTCATTGTCCAAGTTTCTGCATCACATAGCAGAACTGAGCATATATAACATTTGACCATTCTCATTTTTAGTATGTTGTTTATCTTTCCAGCTGTCAGTAATGTGTGCGCATCTTATTGAAGACAGTTTCAGCCATTTCTATTCTCTTTTTGATTTCTGTTTCGCTTCTTCCATCATCTGTGACTACATGGCCTAGATATCATATCAGATACTTGGGAAACACATGTGTAGAAAAGGCTTTCTATGAAAGGGGTAACCAGTAAATGCATGGTGAGTTGATTGGAACTGAATGAGTTGAAAACAAACAAACAGACTAACCTGGAAGCTTAGCGTAAAAATGCAGGTGTGTCCTTTTGACATAACACAATCCTCCAATGAGTGCCACCATCATCAAAATAGCCACAAGTGTTCCAACAATCACCAACATCACTTCACCGTCTGCTCCTATTTTGTCTTTCTTTCCTGGCAGACAGAATTCATGGAAAAAGAATATTTAAATAATGCGGACACAAACCATACATTGCACAATTTATTGCCACGCATATATCCCTGTATCTCATCAGGTGCGTTACTACAGAGTTACATAAACATAATATAAAGAATAAAAACTGAATACAGCCAACTGAAATTTGAAATGTTTCTTTTGACACATAGTAGTGTGTTTTGTGGCCGGAAGTTCGCCGTAGTCACATGACTTACCAGGGTAACTTCAAATTTACTATAAATTCTGTCTGCTTACAAAGAAGGGTATTGTTGATTTTAATTGTTAAAGCTTCGACAATTCTCAGCAGTCGCCTGTTTGGTGTGTGATAAACCACACAGAAAGCACTGTCTGTGTCAATTACGTTTCCAGAAAAATATTTCACATAGCAAATTTTTTTAAAACAAACTTTATCAGATAAGCTTTTATTTATAATGCATCAAATAATCAACTCTTTCTGTCCCTAGCAACACACTGTGTATTCAGTGATTACCCTAATGTCTCAATAAATGCATGGTGTATTACTGCGTGATTTAAATTTTGACTGCGCATACTACAGAAATCTGGTCAAATATCATAACATGAAGCATTTAAAATGCTGCCTCTTTGGAAGCTACAGACCCATGATATTTCCCTGTGGGTACAAACACCATAGGAATCTTTAACAAAATCTTCTGCTACTGAAAGATTTAACACACTAACAAGACAATAGTTTATCAAATAATTTAATCGACATGTCAGATTAAACAATCCCTTAACAAAATTCATCTAAATGACTAATAAAAGTGTGTGATTCCAGTGAAAGTAATATACATATAATTACATAGAAATGGTATTTCTTCTTCTTAAAGTCTATGCCATATGGCGTTCGTAGTTATGTCTCTCCACAACCTTCTGTTTTGTGTACTTTAAGTCAACTCTGACACAGGTGATCCTCCATGCCACGATGTTAAACTGTCCACCATCTGTTCTCTCAGTCTTCCTCTGCCTCTTCTCTCCTCCAACTTTCCTACTGTCAGTTTTCTCCTTCTCATCACAAGACCAAAGAATGTAGGTTGTTTCTAATGGTATATATCACAATCTAATTGAAAAAAATACACATAAATAAGAGACAGAAAAAAAGAGACAGGAAGAGACAAACAGAGACACAGAGAGACAGAATATAAAACAGAGAGACAAAGAGGGGTAGGACAAACACAGAGAGAGACATAGAGGCAAAGAGAGAGAGACAGAGAGAGAGAGAGACAAGGAGAGAGATGGAAAGAGAGACTGAACTTTAAAGACACTGTGAGATAACTGAGACTGACTGAAGCGGGTAAAATTTCAGGAGACACAATCAAAAATAAACAGATGATCAAGTACAAGTACAGGATTATAACAACAATTTAACAAATGTGCAAAAATAATAGTTCACACTATATCAAAGTCACTTAAGTGCTAAATCTGCAGAGAAAATCCTGTTTTAACACTGAGATCTCTCTCAGAAATCTCAATGTGATACATTATCATATAAAATTAAAGCAGTGTAGTGTGAAAAGCAAAACTTTTTCTGACTTACTTAAAATAAGAATTCCCACATGTGCTTTCGTTTGGCATATTGTAAAGTGACAAATAACAGCCCTAAAAATGCAATGCAATCAGGTAAAAAGTGCCAAAACTGCACAAAGGAGGCTTTGATATAGTGACAAGGATACCAAACCTGAAGAAAGAAAGGTAGCTAGGCAGACAGTCAATGAAAGACATGAAAGTCATGTACATACCCACAAGGATACCAAACCTGAAGAAAGAAAGGTAGCTAGGCAGACAGTCAATGAAAGACATGAAAGTCATGTACATACCCACAAGGATACAAAACCTGAAGAAAGAAAGGTAGCTAGGCAGACAGTCAATGAAAGACATGAAAGTCATGTACATACCCACAAGGATACAAAACCTGAAGAAATAAAGGTAGCTAGGCAGACAGTCAATGAAAGACATAAAAGTCAACATACCCACAAGTCATGTCACATACATACCCACAAGGATACAAAACCTGAAGAAAGAAAGGTAGCTAGGCAGACAGTCAATGAAATGACATGAAAAGTCAAAACCTGAAGAAAGAAAGGTAGCTAGGCAGACCCAATGAAAGACATGAAAGTCATGTACATAGGATACCAAACCTGAAGAAAGAAAGGTAGCTAGGCAGACAGTCAATGAAAGACATGAACAGTCATTGAGTCATGTACATACCCACAAGGATACCAAACCTGAAGAAAGAAAGGTAGCTAGGCAGACAGTCAATGAAAGACATGAAAGTCATGTACATACCCACAAGGATACAAAACCTGAAGAAAGAAAGGTAGCTAGGCAGACAGTCAATGAAAGACATGAAAGTCATGTACATACCCACAAGGATACCAAACCTGAAGAAAGAAAGGTAGCTAGGCAGACAGTCAATGAAAGACATGAAAGTCATGTACATACCCACAAGGATACCAAACCTGAAGAAAGAAAGGTAGCTAGGCAGACAGTCAATGAAACATGAAAGTCATGAACATACCCACAAGGATCAAACCTGAAGAAAGAAAGGTAGCTAGGCAGACAGTCAATGAAAGACATGAAAGTCATGTACATACCCACAAGGATACAAAACCTGAAGAAAGAAAGGTAGCTAGGCAGACAGTCAATGAAAGACATGAAAGTCATGTACATACCCACAAGGATACAAAACCTGAAGAAAGAAAGGTAGCTAGGCAGAGGTCAATTAAAGACAGTCAATGAAAGACATGAAGGTCATGAAGAAAGAAAGGTAGCTAGGCACAGTCAATGATACATAAACCTGAATACCCACAAGGATAAAAGAAAGAAGGTAGCTAGGCAGACAGTCAATGAAAGACATAAAGTCATGTACATACCCACAAGGATACAAAACCTGAAGAAAGAAAGGTAGCTAGGCAGACAGTCAATGAAAGACATGAAAGTCATGTACATACCCACAAGGATACAAAACCTGAAGAAAGAAAGGTAGCTAGGCAGACAGTCAATGAAAGACATGAGGGTCATGTACATACCCACAAGGATACCAAACCTGAAGAAAGAAAGGTAGCTAGGCAGACAGTCAATAAAAGACATGAAAGTCATGTACATACCCACAAGGACACAAAACCTGAAGAAAGGAAGGTAGCTAGGCAGACAGTCAATTAAAGACATGAAAGTCATGTACATACCCACAAGGATACAAAATCGGAAGAAAGAAAGGTAGCTAGGCAGACAGTCAATGATAGACATGAAAGTCATGTAATACCCAACAAGGATACTGAAAGGTAGCTAGGCAGTCAATGAAAGACATGAGTCATTTACATACCCACAAGGATACTAAGAAAGAAAGGTAGCTAGGCAGACAGTCAATGAAAGACATGAAAGTCATGTACATAACCACAAGGATAACAAACCTGAAGAAAGAAAGGTAGCTAGGCAGACAGTCAATTAAAGACATGAAAGTCATGTACATACCCACAAGGATACAAAATCGGAAGAAAGAAAGGTAGCTAGGCAGACAGTCAATGAAAGACATGAAAGTCATTTACATACCCACAAGGATACAAAACCTGAAGAAAGAAAGGTAGCTAGGCAGACAGTCAATTAAAGACTTGAAGGTCATGTACATACCCACAAGGATACCAAACCTGAAGAAAGAAAGGTAGCTAGGCAGACAGTCAATGAAAGACATAAAAGTCATGAACACACCCACAATATCCCCTTTTCCAAGACCGCTCTTCCAGCATCCTCCCACACAGCAACACTCGTGATGTAACTCTGCATACTGTGCATGGAGAAAGACACAATACAGTTTTTAAAAAAAAAAGGACCCTTTTCATTTGTCATGTGTACTGGGCATACAGAGCTAGACCTATATTTTACTGACCAATCAGCACCTGGTGGGTGATGCGGTCAACATGACACCGGCCGCCATTTCTTCCCAGGAGACTATAACTGGTACCCACTCAATGCTGGGTCGACCTGGGAGGCAAGGTTATTGAGTGAAAAAAAGTCAAGCTCTGTTGAGACCCGAACCCACGACCTTCTGATCCGTAGGTGAGTGTCTAACTACTGCACCATGGCAGCTCCAAAGGGCTAAATAACTGACTGATACAAGACAGAACAAACATCAAAGTCAAGGACCCGTTACATGCATCTGGCATATAGTGCCAAACTCATATTTTTATATATAAACTGGCGCTGTATTGGTGGTGTGATCAATACCATGCTGACCCCCTTTACTTTCCTGTAATTTCCTGATACCCCTTTTAGGCTGAGTCAACATGGGAGGCATGGTGGTTTCTTTTTTTTTAAATTTAGTACTACCTGTTGGGTGTAGATTTAAACCCAAGAATTTAAGGCCGTCAGTCACTGCCTTACCATGGCTCCCTTATAGAACAAAATCGTTCAGTCCGCTAAATAATAACAATATGACAGGAATTCTCAACAGAGAAAAGAGTTAAGAGCAGGGAAGAATGACAAAATGAGCAAAAGGACGGAGGAAAGACTGACAGAGAAGTTTGAAGGGAAAGATGAAAGATGGGGGTAGCAACAATAAAAGCGAGACGGAAAAGGAAGTCAGTATCCGGAACTGCATTTGAATCCAGTAGTTTTCACGCAACTATGTGACCAGTGGTACTTCTGGTTTTAACTTTAAATCACTTTATCGTTATATTTTATCATCATTAATATAATAAAGATTGTATTAGGCTTCAAACAGCCAGCCCATAGGCTTTTTAATTGGAAGTATACACTTATAGACATCTCATACATGCCGTCACAAATCCTTTAACAGTAAATGACTTCTTCTTCTTATTATTTCTTTATTGTCTCACTGATGCCAAGTTATAGCCCAGTGTCGTGGTTTTCTGTATTTGTCTTGCACTTTTCAAGTGTTTTGGGTGATGGATTTGTTAATCTTTTTGCAGGTTTTGGATACAACATTTATGCATATCTTTATTGATCTTCCTCTCGCCTTCCTCCCAGATATTCTGCTGTAAAAAAGTCTTATATGCAGTTTGGTCTGGCTGCAGTCTCACTAGATGGCTGAACCATTTCATTCTTTGTCTGTCAGTATAATCCAGACATGGTCTTATTCCAACATTCTCTCGAATGCTGGTATTCGTAACCCTGTCTCTTCTTGTGTTGTTGGTGCTTCAGCGGAGGCAGCACATTTCACATGTAGTTATCTTTTTTTATTCTAGTGCCTTAGTAAACGAAAGTCTTTGATACGAAAGACACACAGCAAGAAGAAGATCATGCAGAAGATGGTACCATGAGATCAGGAACAGCTTGAAAGAATATGCACTAAAAAAGAGCACACAGATGATCCTCACATCTTCCATCAAAATACTGATGAAGTAACGGTGGTTTCATAGAGGAATGATTAGAACACCCTGGACAGATAACAAGAGTAATAAAGATGTCTTGAAAGAGACTAACTCATGGACACCTTGGACAGATAACAAGAGTAATGAAGATGTCTTGAAAGATACTAACTCATGGACACCTTGGACAGATAACAAGAGTAATAAAGATGTTTTGAAAGAGACTAACTCATGGACACCTTGGACAGATAACAAGAGTAATGAAGATGTCTTGAAAGAGACTAACTCATGGACACCTTGGACAGATAACAAGAGTAATAAAGATATCTTGAAAGAGACTAACTCATGAAAAGAACTGACTACCCACATCAGGACGAGACAAGCCACACTCTATGGTCATTTCATGAGGAGGGAGGGAGGTTGGGGGGAGTTGTTCATTTATTTCATACCAATCTGTGGACTAAATAATCTTACATTTTTTCAGCAGACATTTCTTTCCCCCTATCATTCCCCAGTGGATTTATAGGCCTTCAAGATACATCTTCTGCACTGCACCCAGAAGATACATCTTCTTAACTGAAGTTAATGGTGGCAAAGATTACACTGCAACTATGTCTGAATTTCCATTAAAACTTATACTTCATCTTGTCAGCTGTAAACTAGAGTAAAAATGTTTGCTTGTTCCTCCACTTTTGGACTGATCTTTCACAAAAACCTTGATTTTTGTGTGCACATCAGTTTTACAGATCAGGTTTTACATGAAATGTAAATTAAGGGACTCTTTTCCACACCTTCAGGTATAATAGGCACATAGGGCTAGACTTATATTTTATAGACCAATCAGCCGTCATTAGGTAATGTAGTTAACATCATGATAGCAACCTTTGCTTCCCAAGACTTTATCTGGTACCCATTTCAAGCTGGGTTACCTGGAAGCCAAGGTCATTTTCTTGAAATGTCCGGCACCATCAGGACACGAACCCACAGCCACAAGGAAAGGTAAAACATAAAACTTACAATCAAGAGATGTCCACTATCCAGAATGATACTGAAGAATCCTTCATCCTCTCCTTTCCTGCTGTGGTCACACACCAACTGTAGCTTGGTCTCATGAGCTCTCATAGATCTGCAAACAACCAAATGACATGATGATGTCCAGAAATAATCTGTCTTTACTCAGGTATTTTAGTGCCAGTCTTTTTGTTCAAAAATGACCTTGGCTCCCAGGTCAACCCATCCCTAAATGGGCACCCGGTGGAGTCCTGGAAAGTAAAGGCGGCCGGCGTGATGCTGACCATATTAACCCCCAAGTCCTGATTGGTCAATAGAATATAGGTCTAGCCTTATATGCCCGATACGCCTGAAGACAAGGAAGAGGGCCTTTTTACTACAGGTATTTACCACTCCTCAAGCTGGTTGAGTAGAGACGTATCTTGAGCCTACAAATTTAGGGCCACATAGCTACTGTGTTTCCACACTGACTGACTGACTGACTGACTTTCTACCCCACCAGGACATAACACAAGCGATAAACACCCGATGACACAAAGTGCCACCATGTGGATGAGGATCGCTGTGGAGAGGTCCCAGAAACCGCGTTCAGACAATTGGCCATATTTATGGCCTGCCTATATTACGGCCCCTGGCAAAAGCCAGGGTGGGGCTTCAAATAACAAAAAATTTTGTCCTAAAAAGGACAAAACTAGATCTATCATTGTGTTTTCACACACAAACATGACCTAAGCTAAAAATGAGCCCGGTCACGATATTTTCAGGATGCTAATATTGCACGTCCTACCTCAAATATAAGCCTTAGTAAAGATCCTCAGCTAGGTGTGCCAATTTCATTTGTCAGTTGAAACATAGGTTATATGTACTGAATTATAAAGGGATGGATGTATACATAAATAAAAATAAATAATAATATTAACACAAATGCTTCAATAAATGTATAAATGTGTACTCGAATAAATGTAGATTACTGTACATAGAAAAAAAAAAACATCCCCCTGAAAAAAAAAGCCATAAAGCATATTTTGGAGCAACAGTTAATACAAAACCCAGTCTTATTTTCAAAGGAAACGGTAGTTCAGGTGCCATGATCTATAAAGTTTCACAATTTGTCCTTTTTACATTGCTGCTTTTCATAATTAGGCTGTTCTGAGGTTTGTGTTTTTATTTAGTAAAGCTGCTGTACAAATTTGGCTCAGCTAAGTGAGTACAAACATGGCGAAGCAGAAAAACTGTAAATGTGTTCAAACTGGAAAGTTTCTTGCATGGTTTAAAAAAAAAAAAAAAAGACAAACACACAAGTTATAGAACAACTCGGCATAAAAAGGCAGTACTGACGGTTAGAAAAAAAAAAAAAATGAGAATGTTAATTTTCTTAGGCCTCACAAAATTTCATCCTCTGCATTTATTTACAATTTTTTTTTTTTTTTATTAAGTATCTATCTAAAAATTATACTATCCTGAAGATATGGTCACCCTATTTAGGACCCATTTTTTTTTTGGTAAGCATTCTTGGGGTGAGTTAGGTTAAGTCAAGAATTGACATCACAGCACTCAGGACATTCCCATGTGTGCTCCATCCTCATCTTCAGCAGCCAGTGCAGAGTTCCAATACTGATGGTACCGGTCACAATCTGGTTATATTTCCGTCTTGCCTTTCCTCTCAGTGTAGTGATCGGCCAGATCCCTCTGGTTACATCCAGGTGCCTTATTCTCTCCAGGCTATAATAATCTTCTTTTTCTATTAATTCCGCTGCTTGTTCCCAAAGGGCCTTTACCACATCTGCCTTGTTATGTATCAATTCACCACCCAGTGGTGCAGATCCAGCCAGTCTGTCTGCCTGTTCATTACCCACTACGTAGGCATAGCCTGGAGAAAAGATCCAAAGTATGCTCACCACCAATGACCTTCCCAGTGAAGCTTGCCACTCTGCTCGAAGCATCCCTGTCTTCACCTTTCTCCGCATGCTTTCAGAGTCTGTTACAATTACGACATGTGTATGCATCTTGTTCTCTAGCCACCGGAGAACTGCAGTTACAGCCTCCACCTCCATTCACATGCTAGATGTTGTGATGTCGTATGCTAGGCTGTCTTGATCTAAAGATATTCCATTGGTTTTCGCTACGAACCCCCAGGCACTTCTCTTTCCTCTCACCACTGAACCACCTGTAAGGATTATCAGATCTCCTGGCCGTGAATTGTCGTAAATCAACTGTTTAACTTCCTCGTCGGTAGCACCCGCTGGCCACTCTCTGCCTAATGTGATCATAACCCTATACAGGTCTTGAGGTGAAAGGGTCAAAGGGAGAAAGGTCATGTTGCAAAGAACAGAGAGTCATGCTGATGATGAAAAAGGAGTGCCAATATGCAGATAGGTATCTGTTTTTCCTCCTCTTCTTCTTCTTCTTCTTTTCATTAACTGGCTGTAAACCATGGCAGAAAGTTCTGGTTATTCGTAAACTTCTGGACTTTAGTCTTGCCCAAGAACTTGAGTTTTGTGTGCACATCCATTTTACAGGTCTGGCTTATTTGTATGCAGATGGTTGGTTCCTTGCCTCTCAAGCAGATGTACTCCGATTTTGAAGAAAACCTATAATGAGTAGACTCCTAAGACGTACTTGTTAGGGAAGTAGTGGGTCTATTCTTTTTTTTTTTTCATCCCTCAATGGAACCCACATGGGGACATACATGTATAAACAAACGCAACACGCAGGCTATGTCACATTAAATAATGCGGACACAAACAATACATTGCACAAATTATTGCCTGGCATATTTTGCTGCATCCTGTCACTCGCATTACTACAGAGTTCAGTCAACATATAATGAAGCACAAAATGAATCCTTTTCTTGCTGAAATGCATAAACCACACTGTCGAGTTGCTGCACATCTATCAACCGGAAATTCAAAGTCCGTCATGTAACAATGTGCTTTGTGCATTTCAGTGAAAATGATTCGTAACGCGACGACATACGGTGAAATATGCCAGGCAATAAATTGTGCAATGTATTGTCTGTGTCGCCATCATTTAAACTTACAACAGGGAAACATTGTTTTCAATGTCACATTACTCAAGAAACACAGTTTCAACAACAAACTGAGGAAACCAGCATGGACACTCACTTGATGCCAGTGTAAACCAACACAACCTTGGGTGTGGTTGTAGTCTCATTACTCACTATCATCTCCACCCGTATACTGTCTTGTCTGTTGATACCAAGAGAATAATAGTACTGCCTCGAGTTCTCATTGCTGTATTTGCACATCTGTGAAAGGAAAACAGGTAGGCATTACTTTGAGTCCCAGCCAAGTGTTTTTTCAGGTAATCAGTAAATATTAGTATCAACTTCATGGCAAACAGGTTACCCCATAATTTCTCCATCCCTTTGCCAGCCAAAGCCACTCAGACAGCCTATCGCTGTGCCTTGTGAAAGGAAGTGAAGTAGACTGCACTCAGCAATGCCAATAGCATACATGTGCATTAAATAAATGTATAAGGCAGCCATCAGAAGTGCCACCACAAACCGTCTGCCGCTAGAATTGTAGTTCAGCATCAAAAGAAGCAGCAGCTAAACTTGCAATAAATCAGATAAGGGAGTTTCTTCAACTTTTGCTATCCTAAGCAATTATTTAAAAGCCTCATTTTTTTTTCTATATCCTTCAGGAAGGCCTTTTAGAGGCAGGTTTTGAAGAGGCATCTGCTGCTAGCCTTGGTGGGTGTTACCTAGATGCCGGGATTCCTTGCCTCGGATATCCCATCTATCCATCACTTCTGGGGGCAACTTCTAGCTCTGTCTCTGTTGTGTCTAAGTGACAGGGCTCTCTATGGTGCACTGTCTAGTGGTAGTCTTGAAACATGCCCAGTACACGTGACCTGTCCCTCCCAAGGCAGTTAAAATAATAGCATGAGATGAGGTGACAAACTGGGATAGAATAGGATGCCATTACAACCACACAGAGAACATCATCATAATCATCATGTGTCCAGCCAGGCGTCACAGACACTCATGTCTCTTCACAGATCCCAATCAATAGTATTCTGAAACAAATCCACTGATGATATTTCTCTATGCCATCACTTCCAGTCATCAAGCAAACATTACTCTTGGTCTGCCTCTTCTACGGTTGATTTCTCCAGTCATCATGATGTTCTCAAATGCCTCTCTTCTCATCACATGACTGAAGAACACTGACTGCTTCTTTCTCACAGCTTTATAAAGTGCTCTAATTTCATCAGCCATTTCCAGGCAGTGATTGTTAGTTACTTTGGCCTGGAATGGAGCACAAGCCGTTAATACAAACAAATCATGGAAGGGAACCTTTACAACCCATGGCGGAGTGCTTGGTACCAAATGAGCTGTTGTATGAATGAGATATAAAAGTGATGAAAAGGGAGTCAGAATAAGCTACAGAAACTTATCTGGATAGAAAAAGCTGAGGAAATAATTTCTTGGATAAAATTAGCTAAAGTAGCAACTACATTGATAAAATGAGCAACTGCCTAACACAGTGAGCTAAAGTAGCAACTACTTAGACATAATAAGCTAAAGTAGCAACTACTTAGACATAATAAGCTAAAGGAGCAACTACATGGACACATTGAGCTCAAGTAACTGCTACTTGGGATTTAATGTTTTTAAGAACAATTAAAAACATGACACAGAAAAGTCGTTAAGGAAATGTACTTCTTCCAAGTTTTTGTTTTTGTTGACCACAGTGTAACCAGCTTCTTGCGGTTGACATAGTTCTGTTTATTCGGTTATCATAACTGCAGTTGATTAGACTTGACAACTAAACCCACATCACAGATAAGGGAGCTCCACTGCAGGACTGATAAATAAGGTACAAGTAACAACAACAAAATATAGCAAGACTGTCTAGAACCACTCTGATTAGATACCTAATGAAGACTTCAGTCCTAACTCACATGTCAGTGGTCTTGAGCTGCTATTTTTTTGTTTTTGAATGACAGTAGGTAATACCAGCACCATTTTTTTTTTAGCCATTACTCTTTTTCAGCACTATTGTAATTGATACATTGTGGTGGGTACACACAACCTTTATTAGACATTTTGTGGTGGGTACCATCACCCTTTTTTTTTTTTATTTAAAAAAAGTTCCTAGTGTTCCTATTCCATATTTTTGACCTTTTGAGGCCCTGAATGGGATTTTGTTAAACAGTGAATAATTTGGGACCGGGAGTGCCAATTTGTGTATTAATTTATGCATTTCATATTATTTGTAATATGTTATATTTATCTGCAACCCAGCACAAATAATAATACTTATTATTAGTATGCCATTAAACAATGTCCAAGTCTCTGGGGTCCTTCCAGAAAAATGGTATGGGGTACCTGTTGATCCGTACATGGGGGGTTTTTGAGATATTTGTTAAAAGTTTGAGGACTCGATTTTTGGAATGGACTATAGATACCCCTCCCCCTCCACACACTATGACTGGCTGAAGTATGGTGTGACCATGTACCGCGAGACCCCTACGGTAACCACGAAGGCCCATTCTGGGTCACCAAGAAACTTCGTGACGAATGAGGCTCTGGTGAAGTTGCGACAGGCCTAGCAAGCCATCAATAGATTTATTACCGCTATAAAGGACAGAATGAAATACAAATGGACTGATCAAAGGGTATTTGTTTGTGGCGATGTAAAAGGGCCTCGAACCAGAACAGCGAAATTAAACTTTACAACAGAGGTTTTGAATAACGGATTATCATCATGGCACCCGGGCAGTAACCCAGTAGTGCTCCGTTCTTCTTCTAACTCAAGTCTGAGTCCGAAGAAGCTCAGCACAGTGCACAGGCTCTGTAGCACCGGCGAGGATCATGAAATACTTTGGGTAGATTTTTAACTCCAGATGTTGCCCGCGTAGCGCATTAATCACTACCGATCTCACTACCCAGAGACCAAGGGGAATTACTAGAAGTCCAAGTCTGCGTGAAAAAATTATAACCCTTACCGGGGTTTGAACCCGGGACCTCTAGCACTCAAGGCACCCCCTCCTACTTAACAGAATGATATGATTATGTGGCCAAGGCAGTCAGAAGAGCAAGAAGGAAAGCCATACATCTCCCTTGACTACTAACACAGTGAAAAAAGGAAGTGAAGAAGCAGCGGAAGATCATGTGTGCCAGATTTTATAAATTGTAACTGTATTCATAATCTAATAACAGGCCTAAAAACCGGTGTGACGCTGACCACATCACCCATCCAGTGCCGACTGGTCTATAAAATATAGGTCTAGCCCTATATATATGCCTGAAGGCACAGAAAGGGTTAATTTACTTTACCTAATAGATCCCCCCCCCCCCCCCCCATCCCAAACAAAAAAACTTGGCTTCTACATCTGATGTGTCAAACCAATTTACAAGTTTCATCTGTATCTCGATTTTTTTTTTGTTTTATTTATGTGTTTTGTTTATTTTTTTTCGTTTTTTTTTTTTCTGTTAATGTTATTCTTTCTCAGCACTCTTATATTGCTGTTTTTGTGGCTGCTGCTGCCATGAGATGCTTTTGCAATGTCTATCATTGTTCATGATTCATCACTATCTTCCTTTCCGTGTTCGCGTTAAATAATATGACCGGCACATCGTGTTGTGGTTTACAGATAGGCTGCGATATCTGCGCCAGCAGGTCAAACACATTTGATTACGGCAAACATATACATAGTCCGTCGACGTCTGTGGGTGAGGCGTTGGGAACGCGTTTAGTAATGCCGGGGTGCCAGGTTCGATCCCAGCTGCTGGTCTTGTGTTGGTTTCGACAGTGGTATCAAGAAGCCGACCGTCCAGGAAGCAATGGCAAAGTACTGGACGTAAACCTGCCTAGAAAAACCATAGCAGCCAAAAAATGTTTGGGTTGGTTCTGCACTGCCCTGTAAAGGATACACAACTAACTATACAAACTCAGGGAGTCCCTGTGGTGGAGCGTCTAGACCTTCGCCGCGGATCGGAAGGTCATGGGTTCGCTTCCTGGAGGAGCTGGACTTTTTTCAAAAATGACCTTGGTTTCCAGGTCGACCCAGCCTTGAGTGAGCACCGGGTGCTGTCCCGGGAAGTAGAGGCGGCCGGTGTGATGTTGACCACATCTCTCATCTTGTGCTGATTGGTCTATAAAAATATAGGTCTAACCCTATATGCCCTATACGCCTTAAGACGTGGAAAAGGGTCCTTTCCTTTTTTTTATACAGAATCAACTTTGTGGACATGCCTACTAAGGACCTGTTGTCTACTCGTTTGTCTCGCAAGATGGAGACCCGCACAGCATACATTCTACATAACACTTAAAACACGTTCTCACTGCAATTAACCGTAAAGCCTCAATTATTTGCTTCAACAAACAAACACCCTAATCGATTATGCTCTCTTAAATATCGTCTCTTAAGCCTACAGTTTTTACAGTGTAAATAGATTGTTTGTCTAATGCCTGGACCAGACATCGTTATCGCACAGATAGAATCTTGTCCCGCTCGCTCGCGTGACGACGGCTGGATTGTATTATCTTTCACAGATGTGATAAACTGTTGACATGCTTTTGTGTCCCGGGTTAAGGTACAAATAGCTGGTAGCCAATCTTCGCATGCCGACTCGGGGGTCAAACTGAAATGTCCAAGGGACGTATAGAACAGCGGACCGACGATAAGATGGACAGACGTCGAGGGACCGACTGAAGATGGAGACAAAAGCAAGCGGAAACACGCTAACGCACAGATATCAGGATGGGTTTGAAGTCTGAAGGTTTGAACAAGAATAAAAATCATGGCACACGGGAAGTAACCCATAAGTACTCTGTTTTTCGTCTCACTAACGTCTAAGTCCGTAGGAGTTCAGCACAGTGCAATGAAATACTTTAAGTAGATTTTTAACTCAAAATTTTGCCCGGACAGCGCCATAAGGCTACTCTTTTGATTTCCAACTGCTAGGGGATTTTTTTTTTACGTGCGCAACAATGCACCCGATCTCACTACCCAGAGACGAGGGGGAATTACTAGAAGTGGCAATAGCCACACCATGCCTGGAGACCACGCAGTCCCCCGAATTAGAACGGGTAGAAGGAGAAAGTTCTGGGCATGATGTTATGTCCCGGGTAATCATAACCACTCTTCGCATGTAGACTGCGATCACTTGCTAGAGTGGAAAGACAGGTAGATTAATGGATGCAGGAGCGGTCGGAGAAATGAACAAGTAGACAGTCACACAGACGAAGGGACGGAACTGCATTGCATTTTGATCTCTTAAGGATTGCAGTCTGT